AAATGTATTAGTGGTGATCGTGCAGAAAAAATATTATAGTTTGAAAGTTACAGTCAGACTTTAATGCCACTTGTAGTCATTTCTGCTGCTTTACTCTATGCTGTAATCACTTTTATAGCTGCAAATTATTCAATAAGATGCACTTTTACATGTATTTAAACTATTGTTTTAAATTAAATAATGTAAAGTCTGGAAATTTAAGAATTTTTGCGATTATGTCAAAAATAATTATTGGTAAGCATAAAAATTTAGTGGGGTCAAATGCACTACACACAAACAATACAATTTTGACATTTTAAAAGAGATATTATTGGTGCTTTGACGGCTGCTGGGTGATGATGGGCTTTACTGGATTTGAGGCCGTCAATCAAAATCTGTCCAGGGCGCCGTGCAAATTACTGAGAACATAATAAAATAACACATATAAAAACAAACAAATAAGCACTTACATGTTGTTATTGTCTTTATGTTGCTTTTGGCACCTCTCCCTGCAACATTGGAGGAGTAAACATAACAATCATACGTTGTTGATGCAGTCAAGCCACCTATTTGTCCACTGGAGGTAATGAAGGTCTGGTTGTAAATCCTCGGAGGAGAGCTGAACGTTTCCTCCACAAACAAGATGTAGTTGTCCGCCCCCGTCACGAGGGACCACTGAAACTTTATAGAAGTGCTTGAAATAGCTTGGGAAGTTGTAATCTGGGACGTGGCAGGCACTGCGGGATTCGGACACAAGGAATTTGAAATTATTTTCCAGTTTTTTTTTGCATCAACTTTGGGGTTGTTTTGTTACTGGTGATCTTTTTACCTGTCATTGTTATCTTTGAAGCTGTGCACAACGGACTGTAGAGCATGTCAAAGGCTGACAGTGTGACCTGGTAAACATGTCCAGCTCTTAAGCCCTGCACCAGCCTCTGCGTGCTGGACACTGACTGCATCAGCATCAGCGGTGCAACGCTCGTCGAGTTCACGACTCTCAAATCTAGGACATAAAGGGTGGCTCCAGCGTAGCTGCTCCACTTGATGTTCAGCGTAGATGCTGAGGGAGATGTCACTGAGAATATATTACATTCTAGGAGAAGGAAAGGAGAGACATCAGGTGAGTTTTTTGTATACAGCCCTTAAAGCACAAAATTAAGATTTTGTGAGCAAAAATAAGGAAATTAATAATCAAATCAGTGGTTAACTTTCATCTTCAGTCTATTTGAACCTGTTTAAACTTTGACGTATGCACTACTTTCATAAGCATGAGTCATCCAGGAACTTCTAAACTATTTTTTTTCCGGTATGTTTCATCCTCTTTTTGTTTTTTCTTGTGCTTGTGTGATTATCTGGTGTTTGACAGATTTTATGGTGTGTCAGTACCATAAAACCTTAGAGTCTGATTAACAAAAAAATAAAGAAAATTACAAAAATACAGTGTTAAAACATTTTTAGGATTTCATATTGGTAGTATGCTTCAAAAGCAAAGGAAAAACCAACAACACCCACCTGCAGCCGAACCATAATGTACCTAAAACAAAAAAAGTTAATTAGAACCAATTAACAACATAAAATGAAAATAAATAACCGGTCGTAGTCCGACAAATGTTCAAATACCTGAAGAAGAAGCAACAGGATGAATGATGAATATGACACCTGCTTCTTATCCATTGTTTGTCTTAACCTCTCAGCGGGTTGATCTGTCTGTGGATGCTGCACCTCAGCAGCTCATCTAAAAAATTTACAGGCTCAATGGTGCAGATCAACCCCATGAGGACCAATCAGCAGGTCCTAAAAGAGGACAGGTGGATGCCTCAGGGCCGTCCCGTCACTGTTACACGAATACAAACTACAGTATAAAATTTGTTACTGTAGGTGGAGGCGGGGGTGGAGGGGGCATCTCAAAACCCCCAGTCTTTTCTTTTGTGTTAGAGCTGTGCTTCCTCTTATGTGCCTGGAAAACACTCATAGTTCTGCATTCCTACTGGAGATGCTCATAGTTTCCAAGGTGAAAGCAGGCTCTAAATCCACTGTATAGCATGTTAACAGTGGGGTTTTCTACAGTAACTTGACCTCTTTTTCTGTACAGTAACTTAGTCATGACTTTACCTGATGTGGGTTAACACCTGCTAAGAGGTAGTTATTTTTAAAAGGTACTTTTAATCTGACAAATAAGCCTCATTGGAAAGAAAATACAAATTTATTGAACACGACTGTATATCACTCCAAGAGCACATTAATGTTTTACCCAGGAGATGATAACTAAACTCCTGAACAACATCTAAAGTGCTGCTGTCAAAAGGGATCCATGGGGAAGTTTCATTGGTGGACAAGACAAACACAAAGATTTGTCTTGATGATTCCCAGAACGGTTCTTTAACTATGGCTTTGGAGCATGAAGGTCCTGGGTTTTAAGTCCAGGACCTTCCTGGATTTAGGTCCACGAAGGACCTAAATCTGCATGCACATGTTCTCGCTTGGTACTACGGCTTCCTACAGCAGTAAAAACCATGACTGTCAGGTTGGTCTGTCTAAATTGCCCTTGGATATAAATGGTTGCTGATCAACTTGCCGTAATTCATGAAGTCATTAATTCAGATTTAACCAGAGGATCCTGCCCTTTGTTTGAAAAAGTCTGGACTTAAATCAAATTAAAAAGCTGTGGCATGAGCTTAAATGTTCATGTATTATTAATTAATTCTGAATCCTCATGACGATCATCATTTTCTTAACACAAAAAACCTTAAGCTATTATATAAAGCAGCAGAACAGCATTTGCAACATATAGGCAGCAATGACACAGAATAATTCAAAGATATCGTCACAAAGACAATTTCTATGATGACCTAAAATGAAACAAACATATCGTAATAAAAACCAGCAAACACGTGGCTTCAGGGGTTTCCTCTTCACAACAGACTCTCATTTTTACTTTCACTGTATTCTGTTTTAAATGTTATATAAAAACAATTTGATATTTGTTGCGCGTCTCTGAGCTTAGCTGACAACAAGCCCACGCCTCTGCCCATCAGCTGATAGCTGCATGCTTGTAGGGATCCAAATTTTCTAGCTGTAATAAATCCAGGGTGTCTTTTGTCTGCATCAAATTTGAAACCAAACATTATTCAATATGTTGGTAAATTCAGACAATTTATTGTTTCCAGTTGGTCACAAGTATCTCTTACTGGACACCCAACAGTACGAGCTCACAGATAGACACATTTACACAGAGAAAAGCATTTAGAGCGAAGTAAATAAATCCACGAACTGTAGTGTGGAAGATGATAGTACAAGAAATCCAAAAAGTCAAAATTGTGTTTTGGTAGGAGTCATAGATCTTTCATAAAATAAGATTAGATTTCTACTTAAGACTGCACAGTGGTGCGGTTGGTAGAGCTGTTGCCTTGCAGCAAGAAGGTTCTGGGTTCAATTCCCACCCTGGTCTTTCTGCATGGAGTTTGCATGTTCTCCCTGTGCATGTGTGGGTTTTCTCCAGGTACTCCAGTTTCCTCCCACAGTCCAAAAACCTGACTATCAGGTTAATTGGCCTCTCCAAATTGCCCTTAGGTGTGAGTGTGTGTATGCATGGTTGTGTGTCTCTGTGTTGCCCTGCGACAGACTGACGACCTGTCCAGGATGACCCCGCCTCTCGCCCGGAACGTTAGCTGGAGATAGGCACCAGCCACCCTCCCGACCCCACCAAGAGACAAGGGTGTAAAGAAAATGAATGGATAGATTGTTAAAAGACCAAAATTTAGATTCCTTGCGGTACAATTTAACAAGGAAAAGCTGTAGAACCAATATGGCATGTTGGCCATGCTAAATATTAAAATTAATATTAAATATTCAATTAACATCGACAGCCGCCTCATTTTCTCTTGGAAGTGTAAGATGGTTTTATACAGCGCACGCATTTCCGGTGAGCCGCGCGTCAGAACATTGAACTAGCGCGTTACACGCGTCATGGACAAACGTTAGCAATTGCTAAAGTTTAAAACCTCAACAGAGTCCTTGCCTTCAGGAATTAATAATTTATCAGTAGCCTAGCCGAGGGTCCAGACTCTCTGTGTTTGAAGCGTATCGTAGAACAAGGGCTGGTTTTACCAAGCTAACATCTCACCAACTATGGCGCCTCCTGGACCAAATATGTGTGAACATTCACGTGACTTTGACGCGCATACGGCATGCAAACAACATTTAAAATATATCATGTTTACATATCAGTAAAAAAAAAAATCACCCTTACTTGTCCTAAGAGCCATTAAATATTCATCTCTGACCTACATTTGCAGTGTTCCTTGGTCTTCATGACGCTGTTTGTCCTCTGAGGCCTTCAACTGGATTTATACTGAGATTTCACTACATACAGGTGAACTGAACTAATTATGTAAACTGTGAAGACAGGTTACTCTGGATTTCATATTAAAAATATTCAAGAGCGAAATGCAGGCAGCACTTTTCACATTTTCATTGGTTGAGTATTCTGAAAAAGGAAAAACATTTTAAAAACATGCTCTTCCCATGGTTGCAATAAAATACCTTGTGTTCCTGCAGCGTGTTCTTGATGTTTGGGACAGAACATTTTGTCTTGTGTGTAGTCCAAGAATTATATGTTATTGGTCAGGACATGCTGACAAATACTACACAGGATGGGACCAATGCCACCTTCCCAGGAGTTTTTCCACAGGAGTCTAATAAAATATTAAAATGTCCTGGCCAAAAATAACTTTTCAATACTTTCTGTTGAAATTACTCAAAAGTTTTTGACTCATTTGATTGAACAGGTGTAAAAACGATGCAGAGAAAGCAATGATGCTAAGTATGAGGAAATAAAAAAGTGGGGTTTGTCAGTGGTACAACCTTAACAGCCATTTACGTTGTCAATTCCCAAATTTGCTGATTGAAAGAAACCTGCATTTTTTTGGGTTCAACATCAGTTGCTGAAAACATAATCCGATATAAATCCTGATGCAGCAAAAATCTTCTGAAACCCAAACAAAGAGATTCATAGACTTCGGTTTTTGGATGCAAAAAGTTGACTTTATTGTTTTCATCTGTCAAACGAGCACAAACACATTCAGTGAAAGCAAAGTTAACACCGAGTCTGTCTCCAGGAATTTGATCAGATGTATCATCCACACGACTGTGCACGCATGACTCCGAGCGGATGGGATCGATGTCATCTGTCCCAGTTTCGCATCCAGGGCCACCAACCAACCAGGAGTAACGTCATACTGCAACCGTGTGGAGGCCTTCTACTTGGAGAGGTCCTAGCTTATCGTTTTATTTGTGTTTTAGTCATTACATACATGATGAATTCAATCAAACTCATAGAATAATAATAATAAAAAGAATGAGTTGGGACAGTCTTATTCTTTCCAGTTTGGGATTTTTTTTTTTACGTCACAGAATTACAAGTCTCCAATGTGTAAGGGTTAAATACGTGACCATTTCTTCTAAATCACAAAAATAAAAAATAAAAAATTTGGATTTTGAAAAAACAATTTCACAGTTGATGTTTCCCCCAAAGCTCCCAGACATTTTGTGTTGTATGGCTTTGGTATTATTGTACTTCTATTTAATTATTCCTATATGGATTTTTATCTTATAAACAGTTTCTCTGAGATTTTAAACAAGCTGTAATATTCTTCATGAATCTTTTCAATCCCCACTAGTGTAAACAAAGCTTTTTGTCCGCATTGTAATGATGGTAGACGATCCTCCCTGTGGGAGAGAGAGAGACAGAACAGACGACTTGGTAAAATGATAATTTTGTGCATCCATCATTAGAGGCTCATATACATTCATGACGGACTTGAATCCTAAATTAATGTGCGGCTTTTATTGACTAATTCAAAATTTTATTTCTTCCAGGATGGAGTAATTATAAAGGAAAAATACAAGCAGAAATAATGAACAGGTTTGAATCTTTTAAGATTTTTTTCTAAACCACACAGTCACGTTTATACCAACTGGTTCAAGCAAATTGGACCTCCTTTTTTTTATTCTTTTTGGGAAATCCCTTCCTAATGCTTTCCATCCTTCTTTAAACCTGTTTGGATGTGTGTTTGGGATCATTTTCCAGTTTTAACTGTCAAAGTTTTAACTATCTATTGATTTGAAGTGAATCAGCAATCACTAAGTATGCAAAAAGGTGTCAATGTCCTGTTCCAACATGTCCCCCCTCAATAACTATTAACATGTTTCAAGAATAGTCATCAAACAATCCCAGAGGTAAAAACTGGCCCATGTTGCTTCTCTTTCTGCTCCTCGCTACTGTTTTCTTGTTCTTGTAAAGCCGGTTTATGGCTTCTTGTGATACTTCAGTTGGATATCATGTGTCCCAAGGATCCAGTGAAAACGGCATCCAGGCATTTATTTTTAATATTTATCATCTCAAGTTGCTGTAATCTATGTGGTTTTGTCAGGGAGGTGGTGTGTAAGCACCATGGAGTCGAGCAATAAACTTACCACCGCTACTTTACGCTTCGTCTTCTTCGCGAGATAACTGGAGAAACACAGAGATGACAGTTCAGCATAGTGTTAGTGTTTTAAAAGCTCAGGTTGTTGTCAGGATATCGTTACAATCTAATATGTAAATGCTTCATGTTTTTAATGAATGTGGGGCTAAAATTAAGGAACCATTTTGTTCAGTTTGGGGTGAATGCTGAAATTAAAATATACGACAAGAGATCTTTTATAACGATGCGTATTTACGTCTACTTCAGATTTCAATATTTATGCTGGACTCTAGCAGAGCTAATGGTTTAGCATCATGTTTACTTCCCAGTGAAAGTAACATTTTCACTGAAAGGTTGAAAAGAAAGCAAATATTTGATTTGATTCTAAATCAATCATTCTGACAAATTATACTCACCCATTCCAGCATTACTTCCTGGACAGGGAACTGAGAAAATAGTAAAAAAAAACAAAAAAAAAAACAACATTTGTAGTCAGCGTCTTGAATTATTCAAATTGCTCAACACACAGTCCCAAAAAAGAAGTTTACATACACTCATCGTGTGAATGAAAGTCATTTTACTTTTATGGTTTTGTGATTGGAGGTACAAGTTCAAATTAATTATAGGTTTCTCAAATTCAGACAGAGTCAAAATAAAATATAAAAGTATATACAGATACTAATATTTGGTCTCTTCACAATTTCTAGAGAAACCACAGACTTTTTGTTCATGGACTGAATCGACAAAGCGGATTTCTCGTCATGCTGATCGTTCAAAGCATGTAGCATTTGAGTCCAGGTTTCACGTGAACATGCTGCATGAGGAAGCTGGAACTGAGTCAACAACCTTCAGATTGCAAGGCATCTACTCTCCCCATAGACTTGGAACCAATCATGTCCAAGTCTCAACAAACCGACCCAGACAGTCACCCTAAGATAAAACGAAACTAGGATGTTCAAGAACAACCCAGGAACTGACAGGGTCCAGACCTTCTTTTACTGAATATGTTGTTTCCCTAAAAAAAAACTCCCTAATAAATTTAAACTTGTGCATTCAGTTCTTATTTTTGAATTTGCTTTTAGAATAATCAATCCACCCTGAGAAAAAAAAACAACACCACTTCAGTGCTTCTTTATGATTAAAGCAGCATTCATCCCGTGATGAGGTCATGTAAGCTTTTCACAGGCTGCAGATGACCCACCTGAGTAGGTCCTGGGCAGGCAGAAGGTCACTTTTTCCCCGGACTTCCCCACTGGTGCTACGACTACCGTGTAGACGTCCCCGCAGGTTCCCTCCTGGATGTCACAGTACATGCTGCCTGCAGCAGCAAAGCAGGTGTAGTTGGCCCCGGTCCCGTACAGCTCTACTGTGTGGTTATAAGCCTGGGGGCTCGAAGAACGCCAGTACACCCTGAGCGAGTTGTTGGTGCGGCGATACAGCTTGACGCCTGTTGGACAGCACGCACCTAAAAGAAAGGAAACGAGTGTCTTGTCATTGTTTGTGCTGATTGATTATTAGTTATTTTGTCTGTCATGTCTCGGCACACTGGGTAAATATCAGAAATGTGTGTGTGTGTGTGTATATTTGTTCTCACTGGATGAGAATCCTCGATATTGGCACTGGGACTTGTGTCCTGTGCTGCTGATGGCGTCCAGTTGGACGCTGTAGTTGGTGCCACAGGTGATGCAGCCCATCAGGCAGTGAGTGTCCAGAGTGTGACATTTGGCTTCCCCACGTGGGGACATCAGGGTGGCTAAGTAGGAGCTGGCGCCGGTCGCGGGCGACCAGGTCAGATTGGTCATTGCCTGGGTGACCTGGGTGACGTTTACAGTTGATGGGCAGCAAGGACCTCAGGCAGAAAAACAGACATCAAGTATTTATGGTTGATGATGGGATATTTCTCGCATTCTGGATCTGGATTTGTAAGGCAAGTAGATGACCTAACCACTTTTAAGAGAACGTAAATCTTGTAGCCACTGTTGTACCTGTTTCCAGAGTTTTGCTGTATCCAGGCAGACTTTTTCCGACTGCTGTGGAGGCCACAGCTGTGACTTCATAGATTGTGCCGCAGGGCAGCTGCGTGAGCTCACAGGAGTTATTTCTCGACTGGCAGGTGTGTCTGTCGTAGCGTCCAGTAGCACTGATGGTGTAGTTTGTGTTGGGGGAGTTTGGGGTGGATATCAGGACTTTGTATGTGGAGTTGGTGGTCTGTGTCATATTCAGGATCTCTGGAGCGCAGGGAGCTGCAGCAAGGCGGGCAGGAGAAAACAGAGGCTTTAGAAGAATACATTTGATTCCTGTAAGTTTATTGTTCAATTTCATGTTAAGGACTCCATATTAAATAATTCACTGGCTTTCCTGTTATGTGTGTGCAGAGTATGCAGGATCATCCAAAAAGAGTTCAAACCACTTTATTGAGATCTTATCTAAGCAAAGAGAATCTAAAAAGTGTGAGGTGCATTTGCATTAGGCCCTCTTGAGTCACTGTTCTGTAAAACCTCTGTTCACGCCAAGAAACTTTCTTGGGGTGGAAACGCTTCAGCAATCCACTGTAATGTACCTCTCCTCGTTTGACTGCATCTAATAGTTTTTATTGTGACCCGTCTGTACCTGTCTCTTGTCTGTGCGGTGTGCAAGTGTGGTTGCACCCTCGTAGCTCACTGCAGGGGGTCACAGTCACAGAGTAGAGGGAGTTGCATGTCAGGTCTGAGAGCGCACACACTGGCGACGTGTCGTTGCAGTGCAGGACGCTGTTGGTCTGAGCTGCTGTGGTCTCGTACAACTCGGCCCCCTTGACTGGGGACCACATGACCTCGAGTGTCTCTGTGGACACCAGGTTCACGGTTACGTCCTGTGGACAACAAGGAACTGGGCCGGAGGAGACGGGGAGAAAAGAAGAAACGCAGAGAAACAACAGCTAATGTATGTGCACATATGGTGGAGCCTGGTTTGCTAAAGTAAACGACATTCTCACTGGTTGTGTAGTTGCGGACATCTGCGAAGAGGCTGGTGCCGGCCTGGTTGTAGGGAAACACGCTGGTGAGGTACGTGTAGCCACACATGCAGAAGAACTGGCAGGTGGTCTTTGTGGTGTTGCAGGACTTCTCTGTCCCATCGTCCCTCTTTATGAAAGCCACGTAGTACTCCACCAGGGGCACCTCCTCCCACACCACCGAGCAGTTCCCGGCAGTGGGCTCCTCCACCCAGATGTTCTCTGGGGGACACGGGTCTGTCAGCGGCACAGAACAACAACTTAGCATTAAAGCTAAGCTAATGCTAAGTTAGCTTCAATGCTAACTTAGCATTACCTTTGGTTATAGAAAGCTAATACTAAGCTTCTATAACCAAGAAGCCTTGGTTATAGGAAGAATAACAAAAATTCAATGAAGCCCTTTTTTTTATTTTTATTTTTATTTTGTACAAGAACATGGACGTTTGTGATGGACTCACACGTAATGTAGCCAACTGACTGTGAGGGGCTGCTGGGTCCAGCATCGTTGTAGGCTGTAACGGTGACAGAGTGGTTCTGACCACACTCCTGAGGTGAGATGAAGCAGTAACTGTCACTCGTGTTACAGCTCTGGCCATTTGAGGCCAGGACCAAGTAGCTGTTAGCCCCCTGCACCGTCATCCAGTAAACAGCGATTCCAAGAGATCGACCCGGAGTCAGTAGGACTTGGGTTACATCTGGGCTATGAGGACCTGGAGAAAAACAAGTAAACAGAAGGTTGTCGGAGTTTTTACATCCAGGTTGTAGAGATTATGTTATGGGTCTGCAACCTCTGCAATCCAAAGAGCTGTCCACCTAATTAAAACTTGCTTAGAACGCATGTTTTGATCTATTGGATTATTGCTTTATGATTTAAACTTTTCCAGAATCATGTCTCATGTTTGCTATGTTTTCTGATGTTTTGTTGCTCATTAAAACACACCTCTGAAGCACAGCGCGCTCCATTTTATTCAGGAGTGTCACAGTAAAGGAGGCTGAATACAAATGGGTGCTATTGAGTAAATCCTTTTTCAAGTTGCTCTGTCACATAAAATTAGAATAAATGTGTTGGAGCTTGTGATTGGGACCAAACAAAACGTGGGGGGGTGGGGGAAAAAATGCAGCTTACGAGTGATCTGGCAGACAGTGAGGTCATCACCGATCCGACCCTCAGCGTCCCAAGCCATGCCCTTGATGCAGTAGGAAATTCCTGGATCGAGGTTGTCAAACGTCACCCAGGTGTCAGTGGTGTTAACTATGAGGCGGGTGCTGGAGCCTTCTCGGATCATAATCAGTGTGTAGCGGATCGCGTGCTCCACCGGGTGCCAGGTCACAAGGATGGAGTCATTGCTGGGGGAGGATGTGTTCATCTTGGGGGCAACGACAACTACCAATCAGACAAGGAGGGAATAAAGAGCAGAACATTAAAGAAAATAGATTTAAGCTCAAATTTCCTTACTTTATCTCTATTTGCCTTTTTGTTGCGAAGTGTAAAGAATTTCATTTGTGATCACATTGCATTCATTTACTATTCATAAAGGGATGCGGCCTATTTCCCATGGTGTCTTTTTACAAGGAATGAAAATAGTGCAGTACAAAAGAGTGGATAAAGTTTCCACCATCTTTTACCACAACAAGCAAAAAAATCAGTGACAATGGGCAGTGAAATAACAAACCCTTATTGACAGGAAAATGATAGAACAAGTTATTGTTTGGGTGGAACAACAGAAGGGCTGCATTTCATGTACGCTGATCATACCATCTTGCATAAACTCATAACATGTTACACATGAGAAACTACAGAGGTATTTAATCCTACCCGTCCTGGCTTCGATGGGGTATGAAGGCTGGCTCCTTCCTCCGGAGTTGACAGACATGACGCTCAGAGTGTAGTCGGTGTAGGGCTGGAGCCCCACCACCGTGCCCGGGGACTGTGCCGCTGGGGTCTCAAAGAAGAAATCCCCTGTCTTTGACTCTGCCCTCAGGATGTAGCTAGTTGCCCCGGAAACTTGTGCAAACTCAACAGTGATGCTGTCGCTGTTTTTGGAGTAGGCCTGGTCAATGGTCGGGACGTCGGGAGCTGAAGATTAAATGACAAGAGCGAAACTGAAAAATACTGAAACACACCAAACACCAAACGTGTATAACAATGAATACTTCTTTTTTATTTCCAACATTTTTCATTTTGGTTGCTTCATTCACTTCGCAGAATGTGAAAAAAGGAAATCTGTGATGAGCTGCACATCTAAATATTTCTTTCATGAAATTTCAATCTTGTACTTTTAAGAACATCTTGCCATCAAGAAGATCTAAACTAAGCAGAAAAAAGTAACAATGCTTCTTGGCATTAAATTTTATGTTGTTTGAAAGTTGATTTCCTTATAAATAATGCCAAGTTTGTCAGGAGAATGTCTTTGTGGGTTCAGTACCTAGTTGAGTTGAGTATGTGAAATCCACTCTGCTAATGCCAGACAGCTAATTTTGTATTGGGCTTGATGGTGAATGTTTGTTAAATTACCAATATGCCTTGTTTTTTAAGTTTATTCATTTTATTAGCAGGTGCCTTTGAAGCATGAGGAAAACCTGTACACAGCCATATCTCCTCACACGCTGCTGTGGGATGGCAGCTGATTCCTAAACCATAATTTGTCAATCTGGTTGTGTTGTTTTTCTAAGCTGAGCCCACAAAGGGCTCAATAGAGTTGAGGTCAGGACCTGAGGTCAGAGGCAGGCTATTCTATCCTCTTCTCCTCCAAATTCTGGAGGTAGTTTCTAAAACACTCTGTTCTGTCTGGACAAGCATTGATGTCTTGTGGGATAGAGTTTAGTCTCCAAAGGTGGACACATTCGACCACCTGGTTTTAGAATCTGAATTGGATATCTCTCTCCGTATTGATATTTATTCCAATAAAGACCTGCCTTGTTTTTCCATTGAGGAAGATGCTGCTTTAGACAACAATACTGCCTCTACCAAAAACTATTTACCATTGGCAAAGTATCAGGCAGAGGATTTGACCCATGTAATCAAACCACACATTTATTTTCTTTACAGATGTGGCACCATTAAATGAAACATTATTACAAGGAAGAGATCATGGATGGAACAAGAGTCTTATATCTCCTTGTTTTAATGTAAGATTTATGTCAGAAATATTTCAAAAACCTTATGACAAAAAAGTCATGATGTTTTTCCAGACGTCCTATGGGAATGAATTATTTCCTCAAAAAATAAAAGGAAACATTTTTGAGAAATAGACGTGATCATAAACTAGACATTTAAAGCATAACTAAATATTTTCAAAGCCTGTTGCTGCACACAAAACATGTTAGATTTCCTAAAAATTAAGGCTTTTGCAGTTCCTTTGCGCCCGAATCTTCCTCACTCGCCCATCTCACTGTTTGTTTTCCACTGACCTGTTGTCTCCACTGTCTCTGCGCTGCTGAGGACATTGAGCGCATTGTCCATGGCCTCCAGCTGCATGGTGTACACTGTGTTCGGCGACAGCGAATTCACCGAGCCCATCACCGTGTTGCCGCTGAACTGGGCGAAGACCGGCCGCTCGGGAGAGTTCTTGGGGGTCGCTGTGATCTTGTAGGAGCTGGCACCGGAGTGGCCGCTCCACTGCACCGTCATGCTCTTTGATGTCACCGTAAATACTGACAGAGTGATGTCTGAGAGAGAGGTTGAGAGAAAGGAGACATTTACTTATGTTACTGACATGTGCAGATTTGAGTTTTCCAAACATCCCTCACGTACATTCTCCTGCCAAATGAATATGGAGGTAACTCACCGTTTTGAGCGGTGCATACCTAGAAAGGACAAAATAGGCGGCTTAATGAGTGAAACAAAGATCTTGATATCTTGATGATTAATGGCAGGGCGTAATTCCAGGAGCAGCAAGCTGTTGGTATTCCACATTATATCCTGGAGCCAATTATGCCCTGGATCATATTCTGGGAGCATGAGAGGCAGCAGGCTGCACATTACCTTCACTCAACACAGATTTCAGGCCTTCTCAGTGCAGGTATTTCTTTCAGGCCGGAATGAATTTGCCTATTGAGCTAAGGATGGGCCTGCTGCATGCACTTGTTGAAAGCATGGGCATTCAAAAGATCCTGTGTTCATGTGTACTTCAAAAATCCATCTCCTTCACAGTTAATAATCTAAATATTCCTACAAACAAATGTAAACAGTGCTTTTCAAAGATAATGGGGTGCGTAGTCCTTGTTCTAGTTTTGCTGAAGGTCCAATGGTAGCACCAATAAAAGTCAGCACTTACCCCTGTAAAGGCCAATAAAAGAAAAAGTTTGATCCTGTGCAGGCGCACCATTCTGTGTTTTCCTGCCTGAAGCAGAGATGCGTGATGCTGTTTCTCAGAGTGACTTCAGGGCAGTGACTCAGGCTTAAATTCAACGTTATGTTTTTTTCTTCCTCCCTCTCGGATGAGACGACAGGTGCTTTATTGTTTCAGCAAATACCAAAAAGCCCAAAGGCTGTAACTCCACCCCTCAGGCGGGGTGTTAAAGTGACCTATCGGAGAAAGAGATGGGGGTTCACCTTCGTTAGATGAGGATGTTGATAATGACGCGTATATTACAAGTTATTCAAGAGTTTTGTACCTGTTTTTTTCTTTTTTTCTTTTTAGAAAACCACTTCTGGCAACCGGATCCTGCATATTAGCTGTGAATCTTTTGTTTCCCCCAAAGAAATATTTAGGTCCACTGAAGGAAGAGATAAGCTTAGACAAGGGATGACCCACATGTGCTGCTTATGTGTCTGGAAAGAAACTGAAATGATCTTCTTGGCAACATTTTGAAACCTCCGGTTCGCTCACTTGGTTCCTGGTTCTGAGTAATTAAAGGTTTTTCCTTAGGTTGTTGGTCTGTTACTTTTATTTTACCAATAAATCTAAACATTTTAGTCCAAAAGCAGATGGAAATTTAAACACATTGAGGTTCTGTACAGCGTGTCTACTTCATAGTAAAAAAAAGCATTAATAGGAAAAGAAAATGCTATAGAACTCTAAATCCTCTGGACCTTTGTCCGGAAATATTCCCATAAGAGGATGAGTGTCTGTTATGAAGGTGTATTCAGTGAACTGGGTGGGGGAGTCCCAATAGACTGGCTCTGAAAAACACACTGAGCAAAAAAAATATTGCAAGTAGAAGGCTCATCAAATTGCTTCATCAAAATTGATTCTACTGGGAAAAAGTATTGTCTATAAAATTTAACAGCGAAGCAGAGGCAAGATCTGTTATTTATTGAGGTTATCAGAGGTTGAATTGTTGGTATGTTTTGGATCGGCTTCCTACTGTATAACTTCAGCGTGTTTATGAACTGAAACATTACTGACATTCTTGTTCAGTATTTTGTGTTAAAGACCCAATTTTATGGTTCCATTAAATACAAGTCATTCAGACTTGGGAGCAGCAAGGCAACCCAGACTATCACTGTGACTATGTTTGAATGTTGGTGTGATGTTCTTTTTCCAGAATGCCATGTCACTTTTAAACCAGACATTATGAGACACACACCATCTAAAATGTTTTGGGGTAAAGTGAGACAGCCTTTTGTGATCAGTTTTATGTTTTTGGCTATCTAGAATAGTCATTGGGAAAGAAAAAGACGGGTTCACTCTAGATTTTGATGATTTAGCAAATCATCAAATCATTATAATTTATGTTTTCAGGTAAAGTGTAAGCAATTAAATCTTAACTTGAGTTACTTTTTTATGTTTATCAAGGTTATCTTTGATGATATTAAATTGGGTTTGGACAAACATTGGTGTTGTTGCTTAGCATATAAGTTGTTACTATTAGCACAGCAGATGGTGGTGTTAGCTATTTTTAGCTAGAATTGTATAAGATTAAGTTTAGGTTGTAGTAGGCCTATAGTCAATCATGTTAATGTTAGCTCACGTGCTAATGTTAGCTAACAGTGTGTGCTAAACTGCAGGCTTAAAATAATGGCTGATATGCAGTAGAGAAAACATTTTAGCAGTGATTCACAAAATGGAGGTTGTGCCCTGACTGTGGTTTTGAGTATTTGAAATGATCTTCTTAAAAAGTTATTTTAGAAAGAGTTTTGAAAGCCTGCAATAATTGTTGCAGGAAATAAAAGTATTATAATCAAACTGATTTGAAAAATTATTTTTTTCTGATACTTTTTATGTTAACAGTAAGGTCTTGTTTACCTCACCCTTTTAGGATGTTTCATCAATGATAGATAATCTTTTTTGTTATACCTATATATTTTTTGGCTCGGATTATGTATTTTCTCTGCACAAATATACACAAATGTGCTGCAAAGCTCCACCCTGCAAACAGCCCGGGTTGGTTCCTTCAGTCTTTCGTGTTGAAGGGCCTTTATGTCTAAACAGACCTCTCTAACGTAAGTGAACAGAAATCCAAAGCAGTATCATTTGTTGCTATTTTTACTAATTTCTTGAAGTGCCTTCAGGTTAATGAGCATGGAGAACATCACCTGCTCCTGGGAAGGTTTGAGCAGATAGTTTAGGAATGCTGTTTCCTGTTTATTTTCTTTTCTGATGTCTTTTTGTAGAACAGAGAAACTCAACACGGTAGTTGACTGCAAGCAGCCCGGCACCAGCAGGCTCCGGCTGTGGAAAAAAAACAAAAAACGCAGGACCAACAATGAATTACTCAACTGAAACTTAGAAAGACGACACTGAGTCAGGTTTATCTAGAGCCCAGCAGGGATGGGCATTAGTGGCATCAGATGTGAGGCTTTACTAACAGGATAGGAGCTGATATGCAGTCAAGGTAAAGGCAGACGGTTTTTTCCTGAAACACAATATCAGCAAAATGACCCAGATTTAATCCGATTTAATTGTATCTTCTGCCTGTGGCTGAAGATACTGATATTATGCAAACAGGAGACATATAGCAATTATAAGGTTTTATGCAACTCCACTGTATGGACAATCGAGCGACGTCACATTATAAAGTTTATTCTAAGATTGTAAGAAATTGTTATGAGTTGAAATATCAGGACAAATTTACAAACTGCAGAACATAAAGGTTAATAAATACATCTCTCTGAGTAATAAATACGAACCACACGTTACATAAAAACTCACATTGGTTTTACATATAAACAAACTGATGTCCGAAAAGAAGAAATCAATTTCCCCCAGAAATGTGTAAAATCAAATATTTCAGACTTTTTTAAAGAAGAAAGCAATAAACTGAAGCATTTTTACAAAAACCCATCGAAACAGTTTTTTTTAGATGCATGTTACATGAGTCTGTTGTATTAAGGCCCAAACATACCACAATCTATAACATAGTTTATTAAATAAATATTCATACATATGAAAGTTTAAATAAAACTGTGATAAAAATATTTAAGAAATTAAAAATTAACACTTACACAAATCTCTATTAAAACAAAATTGAAAACTTAAATGAATAAACTAGTAAATTAAACTGAAACTCACCAAGTCAAAAATGATATAATTAGTTGTTTGATTGGTTAACCTGCACAGAAGTTTAACTAATCTATAAATTGACCACATGCTGTGTGCAACACAGGAGGGCTTTTGAAAAAGTTTATAAATATAGAAATCTGTTTTTAACATGCTGTAAATTTAAATTTGTACTTAATATTTGTGTTTGTTTTGAAAATAAATAACTAAAATAATTTTAAAGAATGTATTTTTGTATTTAACATTTCATATTCTTAGTTTTATTTATACTATCAAATATATGAATATTTATTTAATGTCTCATTTATTTACTGAATTGTGGCACTTAAGAATCCCCATACAATGTATTACGGAAGATCAGTGATGACATTTAGGGAGTGTGGTGTTTTCTGCCCCCTAGTGGTTGCGTGTTGTAAAGTTTCTTGTGCAGCTGTGCCTTGGCTAAGTCGGCAGACAGTTTCCTGGCCATACGATCTGTGGTCCTTTTCATGATGCGAGCAACTTCAATGGCCTGGTCCAGAGTCCTGTTCATGTCTTCCTCCTGAATGCAGAACATCTTACGTTATTCAAAAAACTGGAAAATGGATAATGAATAAATGTTGACATCAGCATTAAAGCTTGAGCCTTTGACCTTTTTGCCCCTGCGTCTGCTGGTCGCCCTGGGAGGAACAGAGACTGGAGACAGCATCTGCTGAAAATACACATTGCTGGGCAGAAGTGCAGTGTCTGACTGAGTGGAGTGTTTTCTGTGACAGGATGTGGACAGCAGCTGCGGCTCTCTCACTTTATAGCTGCATGATAAGGCAGAAATTAGAGATTACTAGGGATATTCAAGATTCATAAAAAATCTCATTTTAAAACTTTCCAGACTGAAACGGAGAAATCTTACCGGAAGCTTTTCAAATATTATTGACATACGAGTACAAAACTTGGAGGTTAATTTATAAATCATCAAGCAACACGACATTGAAGTCGGCATTGCATTGGAATAAACCTAGACCTGCTCAGTTTCAAAATCAAAGACACCGACTGGATTATCGTCCATTAAATGCATTTAATTTGGTTCTGTCAATAAATTAAAAAGGTCCCACTCCTCCTTAACACAATCATATATGCATCGGATGATAGCAAGTGTTTTGTGGCAATTGCTATTTGGAGGTTTGAGGTGAGACACGTATACCTGGCTGGCAGGCTGCAGGAGGAGCCATAGTTGACCTGAAGGAGGGGCTTCTGGAGAGAGGGAGACCACCTCTCCTTGGAGGTAAAACTCTTGATGGCTGCCCATCACAGAAACAAAAGATTTATCACAAAGTGCTAATAAATAATTGAGCTGTACTGTACATGTATATTGAACAACTTACAGTGTTATGTTTCAGACTGTCAGGCATACTGTTAAATTCTTCTTGATTATGGATAAATTAAATAGATAAAACTGAAATTATTTCACTTCAAATATTCACCTTGTGGCCTTTGCTTCATACGGCGCTCATTCTGTGCTCTTAAACAGGAGATTCCTGCAGTATGGAAAGATGATCTTAAGTTTAATCTCTTTAGACATAAAGCTGTAAAATGTAAAAAAAAAACAAAACAAAAAAAAACCAAATGTCAGCATGCACTCTGCAGTGATCAACCTCTTGTTGTGTGCTGGAGTTTATCAGATGTGGAACAAACTCCTCCCACAGGTGAATCAGGGAATTGCGACATTATCTCAGAGCAGCTTCCACCACCGCTGTCTGTGCTCATAAACCAAAGCAAATATAAATTAAGTTTGATTGATTAATTGATTAAAATCATCTTTAAAAAAAAGGACAAAACGTAAAGTTCTGGCAGAGCACCTTTGCTCTTGCTTCGTTCCATGTCTGAGGAAATCCAGTCGTCTATTCTCTCCAGACTGGACGTGAGGTTACCCCTCCCTCTGCTGCTCGACTTCCCTAAACTAGACAAACAAAGATCTAATCAGAGGAACATAACAGGACTTTACAGGAAATACACAGAATATTTTATCCACGGGAAGTCACAGAAACACATTCCAACAACTCCTATTCTTCTATTTATTTACTGAAAGGGAGGATTTGGGACTCACTTTTTTGAAGCTGGTGTGTGAGTTTGGATGTTAGATTTGCGATCTGAATCTTCGTGTCTGTATTTTGAAGTGAGGTAGTCCATCCTCTGTGCTAAGTGGGGCAGCTGCACCAACCCCTGCTCCAGGTCCTTCTTTAACTTCGACACCTCTGTCTGCAAGGCCAGGATGGCCTCGCTGGACGCACACAGGAACAGAATAAAAGACGGCAGAATATATCTTTCTGTATGTCTACCACCAAGATTAGCTCCATGCACACTGACCTGTTGCAAGAACAGGAGCTCAGAGGGGCGTGTTTGTCTACAGCGTCCATGGAGGCCCTGAAAGTCGGGTCAGGTATGTGGGCAGGACGTATGTGGTCAGTCCCTGTGTTTGTGGAGAAATAAATGTTGCAGGACTGATCGGAACAAATGGTGAAACAAGTGAGGGAGGCTTAACTTACGCTCCTTGGTGGTGCTCTTCACCCACAACTCCACTGCAGCTGCTGCTTCACAGTGCACCGTTTGGATGGATGAGTTGGTAGCCACGGCGACTGTGTGGATCGTCGTCTCCAGGTCGGAGCAGGAAGCTTCACTGTCTGAGTTGTTTAGGTTGTCACACTTGGAGTGAATGCTGGAAGAGAAAGGAGTAGATTTCAGGTTCCTCTGCGATCTGCGGACAGAAGCTGCAGAGCAACCGACAAACCTGGGAACGGTTTTCCTGACCTTCCTGTCAGGACGTTTGGTTGAAATGCTTCAGTGGCTGACTGATTCAGATAGGAGCTTCCAAATCCACTGTCTGTCTCTGGACTAGATATCCGCTGCAACTCAAACAACAAACGCATTATTAGCATGAGTGTCTTATATTTTGGGGGTTTTAACAATTTGGATTAGATTTGAACAATTAATGGTTCCAGCTGTACCAGAACCAACAACAGATCAGGAAAAATACTGATTATCCAAAAGAGACTCAATGTTTAAATGTGACTGACCTGTGACAGACAGGAGGTGTTGACCGGGGGCTGTGAGACGCTGCGGCGGTCCGAGTCTCTGGGAGGATGAGAAGAACAGGAGCGCGCCGCTGCCAGACTCACCCAATCACCCAGATCAAATTCACTGCTCGTATTCAAGTCAGAGCTGCAACAAAATGAGACTCAAGACTGTAGTGTGAGTCAGTAAAAAGCATCATGTCGATTGTAGCAAATCAGATCCAGCTCTGAGAAATGGTAACATGCTCGTTTTTCTACAGGAATCAACTCAAACTGGCCACTCTTAGCAGTAAATACCTGTGAGGTGTCCACAGTGGCAGAGATACCCGAGTTAAAATTGTTGCCTGCTCATCTTCTGGTGTCTGACAGTGCAGTCCGTTTACCGAGCCCAGCAGGCCGCTGAAACAGGACGGAGAAAACAACCTGAACACACACCGGTCCAAACAGTCTGTTCCGTCTGCACAGAGGAACCTGAAACCAGCACTGAACCTGAAACACTATCTGCCTGAAGGAAGGCCGAGAACGTGCCTTTTATATGAGCACTATCACACAATAAATAAGGCAACACTCAGAGCATCAATAGATGGAAACAAAATCTTTTTTTTTTTTTAACTCAAACTGTTTCAGACTGTATTATTCCAATTACTTTTTAGACATACAGTTTTGCTTCAAACCCAGAATATTTACTATAAACAAAATAAGTATTAAAAAGAAAAAGAGAACATTTGGGAAGTCAAATTTAAATGTAAAAAAATACATCAGTATAATAATCAGAGAAAAAGATGAATTGTTCATACTGGGAAATGCTGATGGGCTGCTTGGTGGTTTCCTTTAAAGGGTCAGCGGTCCTGATCTCCCAGCTTTGGATAAATCCACCATCGACACGGCCCTCTGTGGAGTCTTCAACTTCTCTTTGGTTATTTTGGTCTTTCTTCGCATCCTCTTTGCAACTCTCAGTGAAAAAGCCTGCAATTCCCCCCTGAAAAACAAAACCCAGTTATATTGTATTTGCAAGCAAAATAAAAAAATATATATATTTCCACCTCTTTAAAATGAGCCAGAAGATGGCAGTGTTTCTGTTTTGGCTTACTTTATTTGTTATTTTTTGATGACAGTTTAGGATAGAAAACTTTACATCAGCTGACAACAGGACAGTGTTCTGAACAGCATGCAACTAAATATTTTATTTCAATAATGTGATGAAATTCTTTAAAGACTACCATTCAACCCAAACAAAGCTAAAAATTATTTTTTACATGTATGCTGTAAAGTCGGATGAATTGAAACCATTATGTAATGAATTGTTGGTTTCTATTGTGTTGCAAATAACCTGCCTTTTATCAACACATAATCAGATTGTAACTGAGGCGGAAAGAAGTTATACTGACTACCTGATCAGCATCTGGCCTTTTTAGTTATCACATTAAAGTAATATGTTTTTAGCAAGAGAAAAAAACCCGCTTTGATCAAATCAAGGTCTCAATCTCTTCTTTTAAAGGACTGGTATCAGAGTTTGGTACTAAGATTAACTTGAGCCACCATACAAACTGAAGTAACATGTCTAAACATCTTGAAGGAGAACGTGTGCGTTTGCTACCTCATGCAGGGAAGGTGCAGGTGGAGGCGAACTTGTGTGAAAGAAAAGTGAACCGGGCTTCTCATGCAGCGACGTGGGAGTGGAGGACGAGTGGGGTGGAGAAATCTGTTCATACGCGTTTCTGTCAATGATCTCCTTTATGTCCTCTAGGTGCATCCCTATCCTGAATATGTCTCCCTCTACGAGTCTGCACACAGGACAACGCATGCACAGAAAATGTAACGCAAGTACAGAAAATCTGAGATTCGATCGGTAGCAACAATAAGATCTACTGAACCTGTCGGGGTCAAAGGTGCCAGTGTTTCTGGACAGACCCATGTAGTTCTGCATCTCCAGAGCTCTGTGCTCGTCCTTCTTACTGATGTATTTCCTTTCGAGCTCATCCTGCGCCTCCATCATGCTCCTCAGCATCTGACAAAAGACAACTTTTGCATTCACAAAATATATATATATATATATACATACATACATACATATATATATTTTTTTAAAAGATAAAATATAGCTAAATAAAATTTGTTTCTGAGGATTCAAACATCCCTTACCATTTGTTGCTCAGGTGTGCTTACAGCCATATTAGTAACATTACATTTGAATTCTTCAACCTGAAAACATGAGGCTTGTTAAGCGGTTCCAGAACAGAACAGTGTGAGGAACCGCATTCAAACTTGCAGTACCTTCTGCATGAACTGGATGATGATCTCTCTCAGCTCAGCAGTTAATCTCTCACCATCACTAAGATTATCCTGATGCTGGTTTGATAAAACTCTGGTTGCTTCTCTAACTATTGGGTGCTGAGTCGATTCACTCTCTTTCTCAACAAGGTTTTCTGTAAAAACACCAACACAGAATTGACACAAGAAAGGTAATATATAACACTTGCAGTAGCAAAATGTATTTGTATCTTTAGACATTTTGTGCTTTCACAAAGCATGCACAAAGCATTTGTGCATGCTTTGTGCATGTGAAAGCATGCACAAATGCATGCTTTCACATGCATTTGTGAAAGCATTCAGAAATGCTTTCACAAAATGCATTTGTGAAATCACACAAAATCCTAATCTTTATTAGGATTTTGTGTGATGGAAACACCTAACATAAAATTAGGATTACAACCTGATGTACAAATGATTAAAATACAAAAACTACAAACACCAAGCCTTGAACATCTAATGCATCACTGTTTAATCTTTGTATTTTAGGCAACACAGCAAACATGTGAAATAAGTTGCTATGGTCAGATGAAACTAAAACTAAAGTTTTGGACCTACAAACAAAATGCTTTGTGGCAAAAAACAAACAACAGAAAAACTAACAGTATATCACCATGAAAACACTATTCTCATTGTGGTGGTGGCAGAAGGCTGTTCTAGAAAGACTGTTTTATTCTTAAGCATGTCTGATAATCCCCAGGTCGTTTTGGTCACTTCGAGGTGCCTAATGTCGTTAATCTACTGTACAGACTTTACAGAAATGAACTTTAAATACTTTTCCTAGGTAAAAATGAAAATTTTACATTGCAGTTCACATTTAGGAAGGTTAAGTTTCGCCAAATTTCCGCATAGAGACTTTTCACACTGATTAATTCTTTTTCCTTTATTTGAACAAAGACAAATGCTTTAATACTGTGATATGAACTCAAGACTCCAATCATTAGCTTAACGTCCAGCCCTGAACATCCACAGTTTCAGGTGTCAGACACAGAAACGTACCTGACAGCGGAAGGGGAGAAGCCAAGTATTTGGGATGAATCTCTACACCAAACTTTAGCTGCTTCTTAGCTTCATCTGAGGGTGGATGAATCTGTAAAGCATAACCAATAATTAGTAGCACGACTAGCACAGATTATTTAAAAATCAGTGTTGTGCCAAACTGGTTTTAGCTTACATTTGGTTTTGGTGCCATTACTTCTATAAGGTTCACTGAATCTACATATCTGGTCAGTAATTTGTCATGTTCAGTCTAAAAACTCAAACATAGTTAGTTAGACAGGCAGCCAACAAGCACAACAGTGTTACTCTAAGAGAAAATATGAAGCTTTGAGGAATGGATGCATAATGAGATGAATGCTACCGTCAGGCGATGCGCCATTGATGGTGGTGTCTGGTTTTTACTGTCTTCGAAGATGTAGGGCATCTCTGATGGTGGGATGGAGTCCTCCAGGACTCTGCTGATCACCTCTAACATACCGGGAGAAGACTGGGCTCTGTGGATGGTGTTGGGGTTTGGGGGAACTGGTCTCACAGGTAAACTTGGAGTTTTAGGGATTTTTACTTTCGGGGCCACCTTGGAGAAATCTGGGAGAGGGTAATGAACTTGTCCCTGGCCGTACTTCACCTCACAGAAGGATCTAGTGCGAATGAGAGGGACTCTCTGATTCCGATCGTCCTCTCTTGTCTTGTTTTGCTCGGTTTCATTTGCAGAGTCATCCCCTCTGTTCTGGTTTACACTTCCCAAGCTGGACACATTTTCCTCAGTTGCAGCTGAAGCAAAATCATCAGTTTTCTTTTCAGTTTTTTCTTCCAAATTTTCATTCTTTGATCCTTTGTGACTCATTTCTAGAGTGTTTTCAGTTTTACAGCAGTAACTTCCTGGTGTGCTGGTTGTGGCAGCCACGCTAAACACTGAGTCGTCCACGCTTTCCAGCAGAGACACCTCCGGCAACGTCTCTGCCTCAATCAGCCTTTCCGGTCCGAGCAACTCCCCCTGAGAGAAGTGTCGCAGCAACACATGGGTAATGTCTGTAGGGAGAGCAACCTCAATTTGATTGGTAGCGTTAAGAGACTCCGCAGGTTTAGTGTTGGTATTCTTATCTTTCTCAAGCAGTCCAGGAGGATCTGGGCTTCCATGAGCAGTTTCTCCTCCGTCAGAGTTTCCAGAAGAACTAGATGTTTGGTTTAAGTACGAGCTTCTGAGATCCTCATCATAAGGCAGATCTTCATGATCCTCATCACTGGTGTCTTGTCCTGGATCTTCAATCCCCGGTTTGGAAGGCGGCTCATCACGAGCGGTGTTGGGTCTTTGGGCCGACAGATACAAAGTAATGCTTTTATTTTTGTTTTCGACAGCATTTACACTATTACTGGCGTGAAAACTGCTCTCTGAGGAGGACTCTTCTAATGCTGAAAGCTCTGCACTTCCTGAAAATAAAAAAAAGAACACAGTAGTGGCATTAAAATCTAAATAAAGACTAATGACCAAAACATTAAACATTACAGTAAGAAAAAGTACACATTATTCATAATCCATTTAAACTTTGCACAAATATCAATACCACCTGAATTTGTTACAACTACAAACTTTTATATATTTTATCGGGATCTTCTGTGATAGAGCCTAAATCAAAGTAAAAATCTGTGGCAGGTCTTGGGGAAAAAACTGCAATAGACATAACAGACTGGCTACAAGAAAATAAAACTGAGGCACATTCCAACAGATGTGTGAAATAATAATGAAATACCTGAAAATCTGTGGTTGTAATGTGAGAAAATATGGAGTTGCATGTTTGTCAAAACTACATGCAGCCAAATTCATGGATGAAATGGTTGCTATAACAGTTCATTCATTTCAGCTGTTTTGTATGTCTTAGCAAAGGAGAGACTGGGAAAACAAATAGTTGACTTACCACTGAGGTGAATGCTTGCTTCGGAGGCAGCTGATTCTGCTTGGGACACGTGTAAAGCTAAAGAGCTCTCTAGATCGCTCAGGTGAATACTTTCATCCTCACTGAGCTCAACTAAGATGCTCTGCTGAATGTACCTCTCCCACAGCACAGTGGGTTTGCCCTCCTCCTGAACGTCCTCATCGTCAGAGTGCCCCTCCATCGGGCTTGTTTCTGCAATGAAAAGAAATGTGACTCAGCTTCTTCTCGCCTGTGTTTTTTTTACAGGAAAGAAAAGATGGACATGCAACACCTGTTCATCCCTTAGCAACACAAGCTGTGAACTGACAACATTGGATCAAAATGTCTTAAGGGTGTCAATTATTCAGGAGACAACATGATGTAGCTTTGTGTGGCTTGAGTGTCCAAAGTTATGAGAAAACCGCCAACTGAGATACAGCACCAATCACCTGGTCAAGTTTGTGGGAGAAAAAGATTATTTGGGTCTCATTTTCCAAAACAAGAAAAAAGAAAAAAAAAAAAAACATATTTACAGAAAGGAAGGGAGTTCATTAGCCAGCTGGTTGTGAGTATATATATGTGAGGTCCTGTCTTTGATGCATAACACCAACAAACTAAACAGCAGCTGCTTTTATACATTGTATTGGAGCTTCACTGTACACAACAGGAAGAGTGTACATCGCATACTTTAGTGAATGCAGCTAGGCTAATCCTTTATTTTCTCTTTACTTCCACCTCCTCTTATCAGCCCATATAAAAACTGAAACAGCGTCTTCCTGTCCCCCCTCCCTATAGGCTTCTGGATGTACATACATGTGCTGGTTCCAACATCTTCATACACTAGGGTGTATTATTATTTTATTATTGTTATTTAAATGCACCAAATCTAACAAATCCCAATATTTTCTGTTAATAAATGCACTAATCCTATAGCATGCACCTTAATTCCTATTTTTTAAGTTTAGCAAAAATAAGGTAGAGGTTTGGCACATATGCTTTCTTCAGTTTCTTACTTTTATGTAAGAACCTGGAGTTCATTTTTTCTATTTTATGCAAAAATCTGAATTGACTGAATTGACTAAAAAAATATATTTTTTTTATGATTTTGTTGAGGAAATTCCTTATTTGTTGTATGTTTGTTTTGATTTCTACTGAGTATATTGAGAATAAACATCATCCAGTGTTACATATCAAAAATATTGTTTAACTGATTTAACATCCTTATGACCAGTAACCTTTAAAAATGTTGACACATCAAGTGCTGCTTCATCTGCATATAAAAAAATGACTAAACTTCATTGATATCCTCTGGACAAGAAAAACTTCATTTTGTATTTCACATTAAAATGAGAAATAAAAAAGTAAAATGAGAACTATATCTGCCAGTATAGTTCAGTATTATTTAAATAACATTAAAAACAGAGAGAATTCAGAAAAGCAAAATGTTAAACTTGCATGCTTATTAAAAAGGAGCACAAACATACACATATAGGTGCTAAACTAGCCTCTGTCCGACATTTTCCATCTGTTTTCTTTTGGTGGTGCTGGTAACTCACTGTGGTCATGGGCTGCTCCTTCTCCAGTGTGGCTTTAGCTGTGGTTGAGTAACACTCGCTCCTACTCTTAAAACCTGCTGCAGTGTTCCCTCCCTTCTTCCTTGTCATATAACTTCTTGGATAGGTTGAGTTTCTGTGGTATCATTAATTATGTAGCTCACACGGCAACGCTGACCGTCTGGGCCATGAGGAACAGAAGCTGGGTCTGGTTGCTATTGGTAACGCTAGTGAAACTTCGTCTAACATTCTGCTGACTATTAAGTTGTGAGTTTTAGCAAGTTGGGGGTGTTTTGAACCGTTGACATTGTTACATTATCCACACAAATATCTTCGTTACCGTGAACTTGTCGTTATAAACAAGACAGTATTTGTAAAAAAAAAAAAAAAACAAAACCTGAAGTACAAGGCGTGTCAAAACTGACACTTAGCTGAAATATTGCCGCACGTCACATCTTTTCTATTCAAATCTATTGGTCCAATGACTGTTGTTCGGGGCGTGGCTATCTTTGAATTCCACGTTCTGATTGGTTACTTCAAGAAAACATACAAGACTATCAATATAGCTACAATGATATCTTTAAACTGGAGGTTTACCGAAGTTTTGGCAAAGTTATAGAATAATGTTGCAGTTGATTGTGTTCGTTACACTTTATTCCTTAAGATAAAGACATTGGATTTTAAGCAGTTCGACGTTGTAATCTTGTGAGAAATTACAGAAAAGAACAGGAGAAGTCACCATTGTTCGAGCTGGATCGTTTAACGTAAGTGTAGCGGCTAACGTGGCTAACCTGTAGCTGTAACGGGATGAGTGAACTAAATGCGATATTTGCCCACAAACTCAACTTTTACTTGACGTGAAGAGAGACAGAGCACTGCGCAGTGAAAGCTTGACGTTTACTATATGCTTCTAAGTCCAGAGAAATAACTTTGAATGATACTGGTATTTTTTTTTCCAGACGCATGCATGTTAGATAAAGCAAAGTTTAAAAGTTGAGTAGTTTGTACTTTGTAAATAAACCTGTATACCCGCTTTAAAAAAATGACACCGCTGTTTTTTTTTTAATAACATATTTAAATACGTCATTCAATAGATTGTGTAGTGCTGCACAATCAAACCAAAGTAACTGAGTGACTGGTGGTTTGTGGGTATTGATCTATTGGAGTCATACAGCCACAAATGCTTGCAGCACTTTATTAGGAGAATATACAATATAGAAAATACTCTGAATTGTCAGCTGTCAATTGGTTGATGGTTACAGTTGAATGTTTGGTCAGTATGAAATGTTTCATGGCAGATGGCTCTTTTTAGTACATAAAAAAAGTTTGGTACATCACACGCTACAGGGGGCCAAATCCTGTGTTATTTTAGCTCTGGGGATAAAAGTTCAAAATCCTGTGGAGGAGGGGAGGATGTAAAGGTTTGTTAGATGCTAATGTTAATCGTGGTCTTATTTTTCCTTCCAGGCTTTCCAGATTTTCTGTCCCTGTGTGGAAGAATTACCGGTCAGTATCCTTGAACTAGCTGAGTTATTTCTGTCTTTTGTTTTGATGCAGGCGTAGGCTCACAGTGTAATAGCGGTGTACCCATATTTAGATTTGGTTGTCCGAGGCAGTAATTTTAGTGCTTTGAGGCCCAAAGAAAATAGGCCACAACTATCTCAACTACCATGTTTTCAGAATGTAATGACATCTGTCTCATGTCTTTAAAAAGACTTAGTCCTTATCTCCCATAAGGCCATTATTATTAGAGCTTTTTCCCCTCTTTTTTTTGAACATTTACTCTGGTGTTATTTGTTCTGGTTAAAGCAAAGTTAAAAGAGCAAGAAAGAAACACACCCAGTTGGCACATAAATACACACTTCTAATAATGTGTGGGAGCATGTTCTGCAAAATCCTGAGAATTAACTCCTGTTATGACCATTCATATAGCGGCAGGAGTAACAGGATGACCAAACTGATCATTTGGACGCCACTCATAGCCAAGGAGTCTTGTAGCTGGAATTATAACGAAAGTTGGTCCTTGTAAAGGATTTATGGGGTCGAATACTAATGCAGACCACGCTTTTTAAGATTTATATTTTAGAATAATAACATGTAAGCTATGTGTAGCTTTTCTTTCACTTCAGACCTGCGCAATCTGTCAGTTAAAATAAAATACTTTACAGTTTATTTCAACAGAAAGTTGAATGGTTTAAAAACTTTAGCAGGCTGCTGGAGAAGAAATTAAATATCTCATTTGTTTAGCAGTTTCTTAATACCTAAACCTGAAAATTAAGCCCATTTAGTAAATAACCAGTCTGCTCCATTTCCCGTTGTGTGTGTTTGCAGTGTGTGTGTGTGTGTGTGTGTGTGTGTGTGCAGAGGGGTGGGGCACTATGGTTTAAACCGGTGGGGAAGCATTTGATGGTGGCTTATATGATCTCATGGAGAAGTTGGGTAATAGCTGGTTTGGTTCTTTACTTTATGCAGCGACTCTTTGGATCTTCTCTTCTTCTGTGGTGGATAACTTTTTGGGTTTGAATGTTTTGCTTTTTACAGTTTTCCATGCAACAGGTTCCTAGACGCTCTTTTTTTTAAACCTTTTTTTTTTTGACACTGCATTGGTATTTTTTCCTCCATTCTGCTTGCAAGCAGTGCATGCTGAGACATTTGCAGCTTTGTCACCTTGGCGCAACTTTAGAGCTCTCTCTCTCACACACACACACGCACACACACACACACACACACTCGCACGCACGCAGTCCAAGCTTGGATGAACTGAGTCACTGTCTTTTAGACTGACAGCTCGGCTTGAACTGGACCCATCCTTGTTTTTATCCCGCCCCGCTCTCTCTCCCTTCCTGCCTGCCCCACTTGTGCACGCTGCTGTTTGGTTGGTGTTGCCATGGAAGCGCATAGCCAGAAAGAGGCTTCACATACAGCATCTTGTGTTCTCTTCACAGAGAGGCAGTGACGCAAAACACACAATATACGAAAGCAGCTGTGTGGGACTCGCTCTCAGGACTCTTCGGCTCTAGCACTCATGATTTGCACTCAGCAGAGCGATAGTTGCAGATTTTGTCACAGTTGGTGACTTTTTCCCAACTATTTTTGACCTCGACTTTTTTGTTTTTTGTTTTTTTTTTGTTTGTTTGTATTGCTTTACTTTTTTTTTCTCTGACTTGTTTCATTTTTTAATCGCAACCATTTTTTCGGGAACGAAGCTTGGATTTTCCCTCATATTATGCACTACGATGGATACCGGCGGTTCAGTGGTTAGCATGCGAACTGAGGAGCAGCCCTTTCATGTCCGCTACAGGTAGGAAATTTACGTCTCTTACCTAAAGTTCAGTCAGTGTTGGAATGTGGCTGCGTTTTAGGTTATTTGTAGAAAACTTCTTTAACCACACAGATCTGCCTTGTAACTTGCTGACGATGTGCTACTGTTTACAATGCAAGAATAGAAGCTAAGGTTGAATTTGAGCTTGGAAAACCTGTCTGCGACCTTGACACAAACCACATGAGCTTCTCAGACAAACCCGCTGTCCCTGCGGCAGGTGTGTCCTGCTCCTGCCTGGTGTAAATATTTTAAAAGCCCTGAAAAATTTATCCCAGCTTGCTTTGTGTGTGCCCACATGTGTGTCCAGTTTGTCTGGACAAGGGGACACCTACGCCCAGCCGTCATTTTGGGGGTGGGTGGGCTGACTTCTCCAAAACCGGACGGTTAACGTCAATTAATTGATTCCATCAGACCACGGAGCTTGATTAGTCTGACAGCTCTAATCAAGCTACTTAGCGTTCTCCAGCTCCATAATCTGTCAACTGCATACTTGACAGACGTAATCTCAGGTGACCAGGTCGCCGGGTGACAGAACACGCCGAGGAAAGACGGGCAGATTAGCCGAGAAAGTGCTGATGGAGCGAGTTCCTCGCGGCCGTGCAGTGGAAGTTAATGCTGTGACAACATCCCAGGCGTCTCCTTGAACTTTTTTTCCTGGGCTCGGATATCTCCATGACGTCAGATGGCTAATGCGTTTGATCTTACCTCTTATTTTTAACTTTTTTTTATGTAAATGAGCAATAAACATGTTTTTTTTTTTTTTTTTTTTAATCAAGTGGTTTTGATGAAAGCCGGTCGGTAGATCAAGGGCAAAGACGGTTGTCGATGCTTCAGAAAAAGACAAGGAGCTGCTGTGTGGAAGTGCCGTTTCCTTCCAAGGGGAAATCCTCAGCAGATGCCACTCAGGTGTTCCATGTGCTGCTGCTGTTGCTGCTGTAAGGCACGGAAAGCCGGCAGGTAGGCTGCCGTTTGCCACAGCTGTAGAGTCTAATGGTGTAATGCGTAGGGTTAGTTGTAAACAAAGCCATTCTCCTCTCATTTAAGGATTAAGACTGCTGAGCTGAGCTTTGACTGTTCGGGATATCGTCTTTGCTTTTGTTGCCAAATTATAGCCTGTCTGACGGTGAGAAAAGTTACTGTGATTGGCGATCTGCGTCAGAGGAACATTGCAGCTCGTATAAAAGCCATAACATCGTCTGAGGATCCCAGTCCTTGGTCTGTTTTTTTATTTTATTTTATTTAATTTTGTTTCCTTTGTGGTTTTTAAGTAACGACTGGGTGTGCTCAAGAGGGGGGAAAAACTTCTACTACACAAGCTGGATGGATTTCAAAAACCTAATCTTTTCCCAACAACAAAAATATTATTGTTGGGAAAACAATGTAACTAGTTTTGTCTTAGTTGCTTTAGCCAGCAATCACCAAGTTGCATATAAGAATGTATGTCCATTGTTTTTCTTTCTATGGATGAAAAAAAAACATTCAGTATCTTTAAAAATCCAAAATAATGACTGATTCAGGTCACAGCACATATTCATTCTTTCTTAATGATGGAATAAATTGTGATCTGGTCTTTTTGATGGCCACTGTTTGAAATTCTTAACCCACTTACCTAATTCATCAGGTTATTTCTGGTTTGGAAGATTAATTTGAGTCCGAGCTTTCACCTCCTGACTGCTTGATTCGATATTTTTCCATATATTTTTTTTCCCCTTGCGACGCCATTTATTCTGTGAATCAGACCACAGGACATGTCTTCAAAAATGTAGTTCTACATGTGTTGCTGTTTTCAACCCATGGCGATTCAGGTCTCATTTCTCTGTGAGGACGCTCGCTTACCAGCTTCAGCCATCAGCTTCACAGGGTCTTTTGCTTTTGTTCTGTTTGATTTGCACATTTTGCACCAAAACACATTGATCTCTGGAAAACGGATTCCATCGAAGCGGTCTGATAGTTGGACAACTTTTTACATAGTTGTGAACATTTAGCCTTCATGGATTAGATAAGTTTGTATCCAAGGATGAACCGGGACTTGTGGAGGTCCGCTTTTCTCTTCCTGATATCTTGGCTGATTTCTTTTACAAATCCTTGACAATGTGACCTCGGCTCTATCCCGTAGTAA